GAGTTTTTCAATTACTGAAAAAAAACTTCGGGATGGAGGGGTGTTTTTCACATGAATGACATAGAACTACCTGATCACCGGAACGAGTTTTCAATTACTGAAAAAATACTTCGGGATGGAGGGGTGTTTTTCACATGAATGACATAGAACTACCTGATCACCGGAACGAGTTTTCAATTACTGAAAAAAAACTTCGGGATTCCTTCAGATTTGGTTATATTTTGACGTGAGATATGTAAGTCTCTGCCTTACTATGCTAAAACTTCACGTTTCGATACCCGTGGTGGGCAGAGCACAGATAGCCCATTGTGTAGCATTGTGCGTTACAACAATCCAAACTCAACATCTACTAAGTGGTCCTGCCATTGAAAAAAACAGCGGTTTTGTTGTATTTATTTTTGATTAATAATGTTACTGATTTACTCATATTGACCAGATATATGTAAATATGTACAATTATAAAATATCTATTACATTATCTCGTATACAAATATGTTTTAGAGCAAATATATTGTATTAATGAAGAAAGGATAATCCTTCAGAAACAATCAGTTTAATGTTTTTGAATAAATATATATATATAATAAACTTTCATTCATGTCTATAAAGACAAAATTGTTTGTATTTGTCTGTAAATATGTAATAAATAGAACTTCTGATGTACCTGTAATATGTTATAGAGCAAATATATTGTATTAATGAAGAAAGGATAATCCTTCAGAAACAACCAGTTTAAGTTTGTTTTTTCACGCCTGTAAAGACAACACTGTTTGTAGTTTCTGTAATTATGTAATAATTAAAACTTCTGATGAAATTGTAATACTTTAACAAAACCCAATTACATAATTTCTCGGAAAGCGTTTACAGGTTAAAATATTTAACCAGGCCAGCTTTACACAAACGTACGTTAATTCCTTTTTGAGTTACCTAACATTCTCTTATTTTCACAAAAGCTACGTCCCTTAAGGAATATAAACTAATAACAAATGCCAAATGACATCAGATTCGTGGAAAATATTTTTTTTATTATCATTATCAAGAAACATTGAACTTTCCTGTTTATAGTTGGAACATTGCCAACTGTCGAGAATCCGAGTCTGAGAGATAGGTATATAAGCATTTTGAACTGTCGTCTATTTAGTGTTAGATTCATCACACACGATTAGATTCATCCAACTGAAAACCACCCAGCAATGGCACTGTTGTATGTCAAGGTTTTAATGTTGATTGCAATAACTTGTAAGTATATTTATTTATTTACTTACTTGTTTTGGGCGTAGATAGCTTTGTACGTCTGCATCTGTTTAGCCTTATACGTTTTAACTATATTTTTTATTTGATTAAAAACAAAACGTTTTTCTTTCGACATCCCAGAGCACAAATAATAATAGTCTGATTGTAGGAGTGTATAGACGAGTAAAATGGACAAGTCTCATCAAACCTTTGAATGTTGTTGTCAAGTTGGCCAATGTTGGAGCATGTAGCAACTAAAACAGACTAGAGTGTCAAATGACAACTACTGCAGATAAAACAGACTAGATTGTGAAATGACAACTACTGCAGATAAAACAGACTAGAGTGGGAATGACAATTACTACAGATAAAACAAACTAGATTGTCAAATGACAATTACGCAGATAAAGCAGACTAGAGTGTGAAATGACAACTAGTGCAGATAAAACAGACTAGAGTGTGAAATAACAAGTACTGTAGATAAAACAGACTAGAATGTGAAGCCACAACTACTGCAGATAAAACAGACTAGAGTGTGAAATGACAACTACTGCAGATAAAACAGACTAGATTGTCAAATGACAATTACTGCAGATAAAGCAGACTAGAGTGGGAAATCACAACAAGTGCAGATAAAACAGACTAGAGTGTGAAATCACAACTAGTGCAGACAAAACAGACTAGAGTATCAAATGACAATTACTGCAGATAAAACAGACTAGAGTGTCAAATGACAACTAGTGCAGATAAAACAGACTAGAGTGTCAAATCACAACTACTGCAGATAAAACAGACTAGAGTGTGAAATGACAACTATTGCAAATAAAACAGACTAGAGTGTGAAATAACAACTACTGCAGATAAAACAGACTAGAGTGTGAAATCACAACTACTGCAGATAAAACAGACTAGATTGTGAAATGACAACTAGTGCAGATAAAATAGACTAGAGTGTGAAATGACAATTACTGCAGATAAAGCAGACTAGAGTGGGAAATCACAACAAGTGCAGATAAAACAGACTAGAGTGTGAAATCACAACTAGTGCAGATAAAACAGACTAGAGTATCAAAAGACAATTACTGCAGATAAAACAGACTAGAGTGTCAAATGACAACTAGTGCAGATAAAACAGACTAGAGTGTGAAATGACAACTAGTGCAGATAAAGCAGACTAGAGTGTGAAATGACAACTAGTGCAGATAAAACAGACTAGAGTGTGAAATCACAACTACTGCAGATAAAACAGACTAGAGTGAGAAATGACAATTACTACAGATAAAACAGATTAGATTGTCAAATGATAATTACGCAGATAAAGCAGACTAGTGTGTGAAATGACAACTATTGCAGATAAAACAGACTAGAGTGTGAAATAACAACTACTGCAGATAAAACAGACTAGAGTGTGAAATCACAACTACTACAGATAAAACAGACTAGAGTGTGAAATGACAACTACTGCAGATAAAGCAGACTAGAGTGTGAAATGACAATTACTACAGATAAAACAGACTAGATTGTCAAATGACAATTACGCAGATAAAGCAGACTAGAGTGTGA